GTATTTTTGCAGAGCGCCATTGAATTATAATCAGTACATTTGACATGGGGTGATGTTGCATGTTCAACTCCTATTTATATTTGTGGTGTTTATTTCTCCCATTTTAACATAATATCTCCTTATTAAGAATATTTATTAAGAAATCTTATCTCAAAATTGTGAGAGAGTGCTTGATGCAAAGAGTTTTTGTAATTTGAAAAAAAATATATTATGAATATAAAGGAGAGAAAATTTTCACTTCTGTTTCTTTGTTATTAATTTTAACTTGTTAAAAGTTGTACCTAACCGACCCATTGTCATAAATCAATCTCTATCATCTATTTGTGTGTATTTTACATGAGGAGCCGTGCTTCGGACCCCCAGTGGGGGTCGCACCCCCAGTGACGTGGCAGCATGGGATTGGCAGAAAACATAAAAAAAAAAAAAAAAACAGTTTTTTTTTTTTTAGACCAATCACACGCGACCCCAGTAGCCCCACTGGGGCCCAAAGCTTTTTCCTTACAAAAAAAAACAACAGAATCAATGGTAATTTATACCATTGTAGCATCTTTTTAAGAGCACACATTTAGAGAAAAGTTAAAATGTGCACCCAAAATGATGGTATGCACTGTGTACAAAAAAACAGTATAACTTATATCACAAAATATATAATTTTTATTGCAAAAAAATTAACTTTTATAAAATATATAACTTTCTTATTCATTTTTTTTATTAGCAAAAATCAGTTGTTAGTTGTTAAATTAGTACCTATGGGAGTTAGCCTCTACATCCTTGCTTGCCACTTAATTCAATTCCCTGTAGGGAGAGTTGAACTCACGACTTCCCCTTTAGGCCCCGTTTGTTTGGAGAGTTAGAGGGGGGGATTGTGATTGGTAGTGAGGTGGGACCCACTAATATTGTGTTTGTTTTGAGAGATGGGAAGGGGATTGATAGTGAGCTCCGTATTAGGATGGACCTCCCTAAGGGGATTCGGATGGGCTTCCAGGACTTAGTATTAGAAAAATAGTCCGGTGGAGTAGAAATTTTTTATTTTTATTTATTTTTTATTTTATTTTTTACATGTCGGCCATTTTTTTTTAATATTAATATTTAATTTTTTGTATTTTTTGTTAAGTAAAAATCATAATTTTATTTGTTTTTTTTTTTGGAAATTTTTTATTTTATTTTTATTTTTTAATTTTGTTTTACATGTTGGGCATTTTTTTTTAAAACATTAATGTTTAAAGTTTTTGTATTTTTTTTATTTGTTTTATTATTTTATATTTATTTTATATAAAAATAATTTAACAATCCCTACACTAACAACTATCATCAAAACAAACACAATTTTACTTAATCTCCTCACTAACAATCCCTTCACTATTAATCCCCTCACTATCAATCTCTTCCATTCTACCTCTGAAAACAAACCGGGCCTTAGAACTAAGTCCTTAGAAGTGTCATAGTGGCCAAGTAAATTAGGCCTAGTTGGTTAAGGGTAAAATTCATTGTGGTATAACTCGATAGCACTTTACTTTCTTGTCTTTTAAAAATAGAAGCATATCTCCCATGTAACTTACTTAGAATGCTATAGTTTCAATTTTCATGTATACTAATGAAGATGGTGTCTCACATGCCTATTTTGAAAGTGAGGAAGAAAAAAAAAATAGTTAAAATTAAATTTTAATGTGAAAGGACAAAACTAGTCATATTTACATTTTTATCTGAATTCCTTACTTAATAACATTTTAAATTAAACACACATTATATATATAAAAAAATTAAATTAACCTAAATACCTTAATTATTATTATAAATTAAGCATCAAACTATGTTAATCTAACTTTTAATTTTTAACCCAATTCTTTATTAATAACATTTTAAAATAAACATAAACATATATATATATATATATAATTAACTCATAAATTAAACTAAATACCCTAATATATTATCATAAAATTATATTTTTTAATAACATTTTAAATTAAACATATATACACACACACATATATATAACAAATTAAATCCTAAAAGTACCTTAATTTAATTTTTAATTTTTATCCCAATTGATTATTTAATAACATTTTAAATTAAACATGTATATATATATATATAACAAATTAAATTATAAATTAATTACAGTGTCTATATATATATATAAGTGTTATATACATGTATATCATAATATATATTAAAATTAAAATTTAAGTTTGTTAAAAAAATATTTGAAAAACTCTAGTTTCTTAAATGATTTTTGTAGAGTATTTTTTATTTTTTTCTTAGTCATGGAGATAAATTTATTTATTTACCTACAAAAAGGAGCAAAAGTAGAAGAAGATAAAGAAGGGTATAATTATCCTTTTATGGTTAACATTAGGCCTGTTTGTTTTGGGGTTAAATAGATGAGAGGGGATTAGAATGGAGGTGAGATTATTTAGTGTTATGTTTGTTTGTAGAGTTGGGGAGGGGATTAGGGTGGAGGAGGGGATATAGATGGAGGTTGAAAGGGGGATTGAGATGGAGGGGGTGGAGATGGTATTAGAAAAATAGTGAGGAGATTAGAAATTTTTTTATTTTATTTTTATTTTTTATGTATTGGAATTTTTAAAAAAAAATATTAATGTTTAATTTTTTATATTTTTTTATTTGTTTTATTATTTTATATAAAAATAATTTAACAATTGCTACAGTAACAACTATCATCAAAATAAACAAAATTTTACTTAATCCCCTCACTATCAATCCCCTCCATTCTACCTTTTGAAAACAAACAGGGTCTAATGGAGTTAATGTTGCATTTTAGTCTAACACTACAAAAAAAAAATTAAGATTTTAGAGACCAAAATTTAGGAATCAAATTATTTTTTAGGGATCAAATATTTTTTTTTTGCGAAAAATGTTATTATATTTTTAGCAATGAAAATGAGACATTAGTGATGAATTATTATCATTTTAGTATCAAATTCTTTGTCTCAAAAAATAAACCATTTTGAGACCAAAAGTCTATTTATTAGTGACATTTTCAAAATTTAATTGTTAAAAGCCTTGTTTTTGACTTTTCAGAGCGACCTTTTAGCGATTATCTTCACAACGATAAAAATTGATCCGTAAATATTTTTGTAACAAAATTTTTATTTTTAGAAATTAAAAAATTTGATTTCAAATTTTTTTATATATTGTAACGTAAAATCACATGGGGATATACAATTATTTTTAAAAAACATGTGATAAAGTACTATTGAGTCATATCACATAGAAGTAAAACAGGTTTTGTCCTAACTTTAAAGATGCACACATCATAATTTTTCTCACAAAAATCGAAATTTTTATCACAAAAATTTGTAATTTTTACTATAAAAACCGTTTTTTTTTTTTGACTATGTGCAGAAGGCAATGTTGTTGCTGGCCAAGGACGCGACTATCCAATAAGGCCGCCTTGGGATCTGTACTATGACAGTAGCTATACTGGTAATGGGTATGAACAACCAGCACACTACGGCTCAACTTTTTTTTTGGAAGAGGACATCAAACAAGGCACAAAGATGAAATTAAACTTCACGATAACACAAACAAATGGAGTTACTTTCTTACCCAGACAAGTTGCTCAGATGATTCCTTTTTCCTCAAACAAATTTCTCGAAATTCTGAACCGGTTTTTGATAAAACCCAATTCAGTTGAAGCTGAGATTATCAAGGAAACAATCAAACGCTGTGAGAGATCTAGCTTTCAAGGAGAGCAGAAATATTGTGCAACTTCATTAGAGTCCATGATCGATTTCTGCACTTCCATGTTCGGAAAAAATATCCAGGCATTCTCTACTGAGTTAGAAAAATTGCAGGAGTATCGTATTTCAGGATTCAAAAAGATTGGAAGGGGGGGACGAGATGACCCAGCAGTGTGTCATATGCAAAATTACCCGTATGCGGTCTTTTATTGCCACAATATTCGCTCCACCGAGACATATATGCTTTCGTTGGAAGGTGCAGATGGGGCTAAAGCAAAAGGTGCAGTGGTGTGTCATAAAAATACGTCGGCATGGAATCCCAAGCACTTGGCCTTTCAAATTCTCAAGGTTAAACCAGGAACTGTTCCTATTTGCCATGCTCTTCGTCAAGATAATATTGTCTGGCTTCCTAACTAAATCTCTAAAATATATATAATCGATGCCTATTAGTTAAAATCATATAGTTTGTTTGGTATTAATTAAGAGAATATTTATATATGGTTGTGAATGTAGTTTGCAATGTAATTTAAACAAACATTAGTTTGGTTTTAATGTGTAGTATGGTTGTGAATGTGGTTTGCATTGTAATTTAAATAAAACCTTACTTTGTTTGGTATTAATTAATTAATGTGTACATATAGTGTTGTGAATGTAGTCTATGTTGGGATATTTTAATAAAAATAATATTATACCTAATTTATCTATTATTATTAACATTATTACAAAATTAAAACTGATACTTGTGTTGAATTCTAAAAATCATTTTAATATTTATTAGTATTATTATTTGTAATTGTGCACTTATGTTGTTTAACTCAAAAACACACACATTTTTCTCCATCATATGGGATATCTCATAATAAGGCTTTTTTATTCCTTACATGCCACAATTTTCTTAGAGACTCACGTGTAAATACTTTTGATTAGACTCATCGGACAAATATATATAATTTTGCACCATGCCAGCATGAATCCGTCGAGCAAATGTGATTCTTATATTTTTCAAATCATGACAACATTAAATCAAGGCGTATTGGATTCATCAAATATATTTGATCCAACTTTTAGTAGTCAATAGCCTTACTACTGTGAATCACAAATTTTCGTAATTAGTGGCCTACTCTTAGGAATTATACATTATGGCTAGTAGTCTCTTTACTACTAGGTACCGCCATTTCCATCAATGTGGCCAGTGGTCTCATACCTACCAGGAAGCCCTAGTTTCTTTTGTAACTCACAATTGATTGAATTTATTAAAACAATATATTATTTTATTTTTATTAAAAATATCTCAACACTTTCAAGGCATTAGAACTTTTATACAGTCGTATGACATTTTATTAGGTTGTTTGGTTAAAATCTTTGTTTTATTCCTGTTATAATATCAGAGAGAGAGAGAGAGAGAGAGAGAGAGAGAGTATTATATTGAATGATCTAACAGTGTATATAAGACTCCTTTATATAGGAAGACAGAAACTTAACTATAGTATGTAAACATAAATTTCAGAACATAAACCTTACACTTTGGATCATTTACCATGTGTATTACCAAGAAATCAAGACAAAATGACATACCTGAATCCATCGATGAACGGTTAAACGGAAGCGTGATTATCAATGAGCTCTTTGTTATTGATTATGTTATTGCCTTCTAATCCTTTCCCCTTTGGTGCCTTATGTTTTTCCTTGAGAGGATTTAGAAAAAAATGGCAGTGTTCTTATTTTCCACTTGGGAAGGAATAGGGACCATAACCTTTTAAAGGTTGTAATTGGTTTTCAAAACTGAAAGGTTGTGGAAGTTCAAAAGGAATGAAAACCAACTTTAACCAATATGTTTTAATTTCTATTTCTGCCCCTCATAGAAGTAGAAATTATACAACTAGTATCTACACATTGGGTCCATAACACATATACCCTTAAGCCTATTAACTAAATTGAATCACTTAAATTGTAGGCTTCTTATAAATGATAACACCACATTTAATTAGGTGGTCCCATTGAGACATTTTCTAACATAGTAATCCTAACTATGGTAATGAATATAATACAACCGCCATTTCCATCAATGTGGCCAGTGGTCTCATACCTACTAGGAAGCCCTAATTTCTTTTGTAACTCACAAATGATTGAATTTATTAAAATAATATATTATTTTATTTTTATTAAAAATATCTCAACACTTTCAAGGCATTAGAACTTTTATACAGTCGTATGACATTTTATTTGGTTGTTTGGTTAAAATCTTTGTTTTATTCCTGTTATAATATCAGAGAGAGAGAGAATATTATATTGAATGTTCTAACAGTGTATATAAGACTCCTTTATATAGGAAGACAAAAACTTAACTATAGTAATCCTAACTATGGTAATGAATATAATACGATATGTATGATAGATAGAATATATAGTTACTATATTTAACCTCTCCTCAAACTCAAGTACGGATAGCAATTTGAGTTTGGAGAGAGAAACTAAAGCATGAAATAAAACCAAAATAAAATAAAACATAGATAGATCCAAGGCAAGTAGATTGCAAAGTCTAAGATAGATCAGAGGATGAAGCTAATGCCTAGAGATATTTTATGGCAATGTCGGATTGTCGTAGGAATAGGGTCGAAGCTAACAGAACTAATGCCAGGAGACAGTTTATGGTTGTGTTGAACCATTGTAGAAAAAGAACGAGTGTTGAACCAGTAAACGTGGCACGTACGTAACTTATGACATGGTGTTGAATGATGATGGCAATAGATGAAGAAATGCGCCAAGGGGTGGCTTGGAAGGGAACCATGTGCACTAGGGATAGCTTGGAAAGGAACCATGTGCGCCAAGAGGCAGTTTGGAAAGGAACAAAATGTGCCAAGGGGTGGTTTAGGGAGTGCGCTAAGGGGGCAATGTAGGTGGTCCGCCAAGAGAGCGACTTAGGAAGTGCGCCAATGGGGCGACTTAAGTGGTTTTGATGCACCAAGGGGACGACTTGGGTGATTTGCATGGTGTATAATCATGCTTACTATGATATAGGGTGTAATACCCCTCTTAAACTCAAATAAGTTTGAAGATAAAAATCTATTTGACATTGAAGCAGAAGGAAAAATGAAGTGGATCGAAATGGAGAGACATGTTAATAATATTATTATTATTATTATTATTATCGGGTACAATTTTATTTTTGTTTGTTTGTTTGTTCATTTTAGGTTGAGTGGGAACAAGCCCGGGTTATGGAAAAGCAAAAGATATATATATATTTTTTTGAAATTAGCAAAGTGGAGGAGACATGCCCATGTGGGCGTTTGAAAAAAATAAATTAATTAATTAAAAGAAAAATTGGTGAAAGTTGGTGGAAAAGGACAAAAGAAGAATATATTATATATATGAAGATGTAAGACACAGGCTTGGATTGGAAGAAAATAATAATAATAATAATAACAACAATAATAATAATTGAAGTGTAGATTGCGAGAGAGAGAGAGAGAGAGAGAGAGAGAGAGATTGAAGATTTGGGTTTGTGCTTATGAGAGAAAAGTAGGTAAATTGACGAGTGGAGAAAGCACCAGTGAAGAAGTGGCCCAAGGCTGGGAAGAATACAATGGCCGGGACATAGCCGATGTAGAAGAAGACTAAGGCCGGAAGAAAACCGATGCAGATGTTGAAGTTGGAAGATGCAGTGAAGTGAAGGGGATGATGTTGACAAAAGGATGAAGAACGTTGGGCGACTATGGTGCCGGAAAAAAAAAATGGTGCATGATAGATATGTGAAGAAGACTCCAGCGAGCAGTGAAGGCAAGGTTGTCGGCTAGCTGTCCGTCGGTGAGGAAGAAATGCATGCTTAAATTTTATAGCTAGGAGAGAGAGAGAGAGAGAGAGAGAGAGAGAGAGAATATTATATTGAATATTATAATAGTGTATACAAGACTTTTTTATCTAGGAGGAGAGAGACCTAAGTACGGTAATCCTAAGTATGATAAGAGATATAATATAGTATATATAATAGATAAAATATATAGTTACCATATTTAACAGTTCCTGTGAATTGGGGATGAACAAAATTTTTACTAATAGAATCATAATCCTTGTGTTACACTAGTTACTTATTACTTATTTGTGTTATGTTGGCATCTAAAATTTGTGTAGGGATAAAAAAATATATATAGTAATGTTGGAAACATTGACTAATATATCAAAGGATGTCGCTTTTGTGTGATCTCCCAATTTCTATTCTAAGGGTTAGGGTAATGTCACTAAAGAGTCCTTCAGTCAATAACCAAGTAAGATCCCAGGAAGGTCGGAGGAGTCAATATAGCCTCCATTCTAAGTCCAACCACTTTAGATAACAAGCTTTTTTTTTTTTTGACAGATCTTAAGAGGTATTAACACACGGTCTCATAAGTAACGCGGAGATAGGCATAGGATTACAAATATATATATATATATATATATACGCAAATGATAATTACAATGTTTCAAATCTTAAATTACAAAACGAGTTCCATTACTATTACAATCCAATAAGAAAAATAAAAGCATGAATAGACTTATAAGCAAAATGACTTCTAACTTTCTTTAAGATAGACATAAGTCTTCAAATGTCTCTGGCTCTTCGTCGGCCTCATATGTTTCTTCGATATCTCGCATGAAACACCATGAGCTTTGAATGTCCAGTAAACGCACACACACCCCGTTCTTTTTTCTAAATTCAATACACAATAGCAATTATAACAATAGGGAAAAAGAAACATGATATTCAAGTAAATAACTAGGGTTACAAGGTTAGTTGTTCGTAGTCTAGAAATCCCTCAAGAGATTTCGTCCACCTAACAACAAGAATCGGACACGGATTATTCGGTATGCCCCATCTTTTGCTACTTTGCAAACCTTACTCCGAATGCCTACTAACAATTATATACTGCGTTGCACCAACCGCGGACCTCAAAAAAGAGTAAAATATGGGCCTTGCCCAATCCCTCCTTACACCAAAACCACCTAGGGTTCGAATACAGCCGTTTCGTTCAAGGGTTCTGAAACAACCACTTGCGCAAGACTTTGGCTTTCAAAAGGGAACACATCCCGCTAACCAATTCAATTTAAACATAACCTTATCTCATAACAATACACACGTGATCGAAACCCCATTAGCCACCCCATTAAGTTTTCCGTTTAGATTAATGTTTTAAGTTAGTTAGCACAAGCAATTAAAAAAAAAATTGCATAAATATGAGCATCATCAAAGTACTAAAATAAAAGGTATATAACCATGACATATGTAATATCATACCAAGACATGATCATATACTAATAAGCACATTCACAAAGATAAGAGCATAGAACACCAGTGCAAAAATAAATTTTCAGATTTGGTACCATTTAAAGATTAAAATCAAAAGAACCATTTCAGATTTTTTTTTTTTGAGTCTGGCCTTCCTATGATTCATAGAGAATTTTATCTAGTTTTTACAACATTTTTCGGAAGTGGGATAGCTTTTCTAGATTTTTAATTATTCAAGAAACACTCCAACGCTATTAGATTTGTTGATCGTTACAAAAATCAGATTTTCTTT